AATATTTGAATAAGTTTTTTTAAAGAATTTTAAAGAATTTTTTAAAAAATTATTTTATTTGAAAAAAAATTCATAACTATACTTCATAACAAATATTATATATTTGCGCAAATCCTATGCATTTGTCGAACTCGGTTGACCATAAGATAATATGTAAATTATTATACACATACAAAATACGATATGATATTTACATTTGAAATAAATTCTACGTATAACCTTTATGCAAATTATCTTTTTTCCAATATTTACAATAAACTTTATAACGTTCATATCGTATCTTTAAAAGAGATATAATTAACCATTCAATATTTTACATATGATATATACATATATTAATAAAATTTCAATTTTTAATCTCTTTAATAATTTTTTGTTTGAATATACGAATATACTTTAAACGCAAATGGAAAAACATAAAATATTCTGTCAAATATACTTTCATATGATATGACGGTATTTAACAAGTTAATAGCATCGAAGCGCTATTTTTCTTTTAAAAAAAAATTCTATGAACGTTCACCGTTATGTCGAGAAATAATCATAGTTCTAGCGTGTTCACAATCTTTCATATCGTGTTAGATAGGTTTCAACGATCGTAGAGTGTTCTTTTGATAAAGGACTTACAGAATGTAGGATAGAATGTTTGATCGATGATTTCGAAGAAATTGAAAGTCTCAGTGAAATAAAATTCCTGTCAGAATATAAGATGTACTATGGACCGCGATGTAATAGATATTAAATTAAAGGCAATAAAATGGGATAAAATTTCATCAATTTATTATTTACAGTTATCTCTCCTATATGTATATAATATAATAGATATTTTGAAAACATGATTTCAATATAATAGAATGTAGAAATTGCGATTTTCTCGAAATCTTTCTATAATATGATTAAACTTGATATAATTAACTTTATAGCAATATTTTTTTCATATATTTCAATACATAATTTATATTAATTTTTAAATTTCTAAATTTTGCTTCAATACAATTTTAATACGATATAAAATGAATTAACTATATCATAAAGTTATCAACAATAACTTTGACAGTAGCATTAATAGAAATGATGACCAAATTATATATTCTTTGTAAAAAAAAAAGAAAAATCCTTGATTTGGACGCTCTTCGTAATATATTATTTAAAATTTATTATCTTTTTATTAAAAAATTTTCACTTCAATCTGGATTTTTGTTATTTAAAAAAATTTGATATTGTTATATATACCAAACATATATAATGATAGATCAGTAATTGATTGCATATAACACAATTGATGGTTTTGCTTATTCTAATGCGGATGATAAATTTTATTTCTTTCAGTTTCATTTATTAATTTCTATTCGAAAGAACTTAAATCAAAATAAATTTATAACAATAAAATGAATGAGATTTATATGGAAAAATTAATTAAAGTTTTCGAATAAAAAAATAAATAATTCATGATTCAATTCAAATTCTTTGAAAAAAAATATTTAGTAAGATTTTATATTCACTTTTATTGGTTCTGAATAATGAAAAGAAGTCTGTGAGGCATTTAAAATTAATTAAAAGTTTTACTTTCTATTAATATACTAAATGAATTTTTATTTTTGATACTAAAAAAAAAACAAATAAATACACAAATATATATTTATGTATTTTTGTTTTTTGTTCAATGTTTTACTATTTCGAATTTGATGGTTTATGTCTTTCTTAGTAGTTATGCTAGTAGAATTTACATATTGCACATTTGTATATTATTTTTTAATGCATCATTTTTATTCAGAAGTATCTACTTATTTCTATTTAGAAATTTTCCATTGAAGTGTAATTATATGTATATTTCGTTTTTTTTTTCTATCTATAATCTACGTATTTTCATGTGCAATTTATGTTAGTTTATTCTCATACTTGTTAAATATCTTTCCTTTTCTACTTTCAAATGAACAAACTAATACAAAATAATCCTGAAAACTAGTTCACATAGGGTATTCTGCAAATCAAGGACAATCAATTCTTCAAAATTATTCTTTATGCAACAATGAATTGAAAAAAACGTATTTTTCCATTTTTTGAATAATCCTTTTGAAAATTTATTCAAATATTAGAAATTTTTTGAATAAAAATGAAAAAAATGAATTGGTTAATATTTGATTACTTGATTGGATACTATCGATAGAAGGTTATTACGTATAAAAATAAGCAAAAAATATAGAATAAAATTTTATCACTTAAATTCATATTTTTGAGAAAATCGAGATTTAACACGTGTATACAATAAATCATAAATATAATAATCATAATAATCGATGAATTCTACATTTTTTGTTCATTCTCAAATATAAAATAAATTTCTATCGATGTTCACTCACGTAATTAATTTAGCCAATTTCACATGTGTTCTGAAAATCGTCTTCAAAATATGATTTATTCAAAAACGAAATCTCCAATAAAAAATTTTATTTTTTCTTTTCGATTCACTGTTGCACATAGAATCATTTCCACTTTTTCGTCATTCATTCTACATAAACATTTTACTACTTATCTCGATTCTTTTTATATATTGACATACCTGTTGCTATTAAACGAGAAAGAAATATTATACATAATAGACAAAGAAGATATTATTAATTTTACGCACCGCGATCGATACATTCTCGTTTGTTTTCACGATGCATGTGCACATATGCATCGATGTTTGTTTGTACACTGAAATATTCAACGAAACTGAGTGTACACTAGAGCCGGTAGGTAAACAAAGGCAGTTCAGGCTAGATTGTTAATAGGCATGAATGCCCTAAAGGATAGCATTCGAGTCCTCTCTCGCGTTTCGAATACGAAAAGAATGTATAATTCAACAGAAAAACAGAAATAAACTTCCATCTTTCTTTTAAAATTGTAGAAAATGAAAAAATTTTATAACAATATACAATCATAAAACTTATATTAGAAAATTGTTAAAAAATTATGAAATTTATTAATCCAGAAATTCTATATTTAATGAAAGTTTATGTATATATAGTGCATTGATTATTGTTGCTACATCTCTTCGAGTGTGTAAATTCGGCCTTCAAACTTTCATTATTTTTTCATTATACAATTTCATTTGGGAATAATTTTTAACTTTAGAATAATAGAGAATTGAAATGTGAATATTTTATAATTAAAAATTTTTTTCTTTTTTGTATCGTTATAAAATTATATTTTAAAAAAAAGAAAAAAAAATTGAAAATTTTAAGAGTCATTATAATATTAATAAAAAAATTGTTTCATATATATTTACAATATTTGCAATATTAAATATATAAAAGTAATTTGTTGAACGTTAAATTAAATTATAAAATCTATCCAATTTTTATGTATAGACTTATATTTATCTTAAAAATATTTTTGATATTTTTTTAATAATAAGAATTAAGCTATTATTATTAAGTTTATTTTAAAAATTTTAATTGCAGTGTTTCATTATTTTCGAGTTACTTTAATATTAATTAATTTGTTTTAATGTTATTAATTAAATATCTAATTTTTATTATTTTATCAATAGAAAAGTGTGATCATTTTATTATTAATAATATAATTTTATAATATGATATAATTATTAAGGAATAGTACTGAGTATATTAAATTATATTATAATTATTTTTATATTAAATGAAAAGAGTATAAAATAACTATAATAATATCGTATAACATAGAAAAAGAGAACATGATGATAATATAAAACTAAAATAATTTCAGTTTTTTAATTAAGGATATAACTAAGAAACAGTTTGAGATATTTACGAATTTATTATTAAAATATTATTTTTAAATAACAGCATTTGTTTTTGTTATTATATATATGTATATGTAATAACTGTATTAAAAAAAAGTTTTTAATACTTTTGAACAAATTGTAAATAAATTGTACTTTTGTCAAAAATAATTTCAATATATGTATATGTGAGAATTTTTTAAATTTCACACGAGTGCCTAATTATAAATAAAAACATAATTTTATGTAATATATTTTTTATATTTTTTTATAATATGTTAATAAACTTATGATTATAATAAAATCTAAAAAATATTACCACATTATTAATTTATTATTTTTATAAAAAAATTCTATTATAAATTCTAAAATATATCATTCTAGTCAAACACGATCGAAATAAGAGCCCTTCTTTTATAATATTTACAATTAATATAAATATCGAAAAAAATCTTTAATCATACGTATTTTTCGAATTAAAAAAAAAAAATAAATCAAATCAAACACGAATTTTTAACTTCGTTCGTATTTTTCAATCGGAAAATTCTTCCAATTTTACGAAATATATTTGAAATATATTCAAGTTTCAAAGTAAATAATCACAGCGAAACGTATCGCAATATGTTTGCATGTATCTATTCATCTAGAAGAGTATACATTTCGACACGGTGCGAAATAATTTTATTGGCCCATATATAATTTGGCGCCGATTCGAAAAGAGATAAACACGCGAAAAGTCACTTTTGCTCATCGATACAACAAAGAAAAAGTGAACGCTTGAAAATTCTGCAACACTCTCGGATAATTTGCTCTCGGTTCTGTGTTCAATGCGCGCGCTTGTTATTTGTCCGATAGAACCTCGAAACCGCTGAAAGCCCTTCGCGTTCGCGCGTACGAAACGAATATTTCTCGCGCGACTCGAGTTTCGTTTTCTCGTTTTTCCTCTCGAATATCCCGAAATAATCGTGCGAGAGGACGTATTTCTCATTTTACCACGTCGCAATGTTAAAAAGAAAAAGCACATGTGCAACAGTGAATAAGCGAGAGAGAAAAAGAGAGAGAGAGGGAGAGAGAGAGAGAGAGGGAGAGAAAGAGAAAAAAAGAGGGAGGGAAAGGAGAAAAAAAGTGGAGAAAAAAGAAAAATTAAAAAAAAAATAAAAAAATAAAAAAAAAAATACGGCTTGGTATCGAATCGGAAGTACAAAGTAAGCTCGACCGCCGCAGCGCCCAGAACCACTAATGTGCTCGCTCGCAGCGCGGACGGCAACTTCGAGGTGACCTTGGCCACGAAGGCCACCATCTACCATCAAGGATTGGTCGAGTGGAAGCCCCCCGCCATTTATAAATCATCCTGCGAGATCGACGTGGAGTACTTCCCATTCGACGAGCAGACCTGTGTCCTCAAGTTCGGTTCGTGGACCTATGACGGCTTTAAGGTAAACTTGCATGGTAGCCGCTAAGTTCGTGGCAGATAGAAACGGTGGTGGATCCTCCGCGACGTGGAACGACCGCTCGTGATGCGTCGGGGACGGATCCATCTTATCATAGCCCTTAAGATTTTTAGATTAGATCCGAACGATCGGCTCGTCGCGTGGATTTCTAAACTCCTCCCCGGTGCAATTTCTTGAACATTCCTAATTTTCGACTGTCGTTGAGGGGGAAACCCACGCCAGGAGACGGATGCTGCCAGCTTTTCTCCAATATTTTTTTTTTTTTTTTTTTTTTTTTTTTTTACGCGAAAAAGAAAAAAATACGTAGAAATACGGAGGAGACAGAAGATTTAAGAACAAGAAATTAACAGCGAGCGAGTTGAACGGAATGCTAAGGGAAATGTTCGAAAATTATGGAGAGGAGTAGAGAGGGAATGATTCTGCGAATGTTAAGAGAGAGGCAGAGAATTGTTGTGCAGCCGGGCAGCATCCGGCGCTCTTGAAAAGAGGAGCCAATCGTGATCACGCTCGGCTCGTTTCTTCGGTGATTCCAGCGCCGACGGGAACTACGAGGTGACGCTGATGACCAAGGCCACGGTCTACTATTCGGGATTGGTCGTCTGGCAACCGCCGGCCGTATATAAATCCTCCTGCTCCATCGACGTTGAGTTCTTTCCGTACGACGTACAGACCTGTGTTTTGAAGTTAGGCTCCTGGACCTATGACGGTTTTAAGGTGCCACGCAACAGCAACGAGCACGATCGCCAAGATTGAACCTTTTTGCTCGTCTCATATATATATATATATATGATCGGTCTTTCCCAGTTTATCTTCCTTTCGTTTATTTACCATTTTTGTTTTTTTTTTTTTTTTATATATATATGTTCGATCAATGAGAATGCCACCTTAATTACCCGTTATCGTTTCTGCGATGCGCTGGTCTTGGACGTCATACGTCATATTTATATATTATCTATATATATATATTATACATATATATAAATATATATATATAATATTTTAATATTGTTACTTGATGTGGATTGCAGTGTTATTTTGATTGACAATTCGTCGTGATATCGTACGGTCAGCTCGTTTTTATACATATGTATATGTATATATATTTATATATACATATTTATATATTACATATATATATATATATATATATATATACATATATACTTTCTGCGGTGTGCTCGAACGATCCTACAGGCTCGCATTATATTCAACGCGATCTATTAAAACGGCTCGCGGCGTCGGTTTTGCGAGGGTCTTAATTAGGAAATTCAGACGGATTGTGCCCCGATAATGTTTTTTACTAATCATTTTTTTCTTAACAGACCTCTCGTCGTTCGATGTTTACGTATTTTTTTGCTTAAATACGCGATTATTACTTGAAATATACCGGCCTGCCCTTTTACTTTCTTTCTTTCTTTCTTTCTTTCTTTCTTTCTTTCTTTCCGCCTTTCTTTCATCTTGTGTGAATGTTTCTTATTAAGAATGTTAGTCCGATCCTCGCTTCGACGAACGACTTGAAAGAGCGATACGTCGAAGGTTTCAAAGGATGCCTCGATCGCCAACTTTGAATCGAGGTGAAAAGAATCTGCTTCGGAGCGTATCCAAACCTGGTTAGGCGCCTCTTTTGACACTTGCACCTCGATCGAATGATCAAAATATTTTGTCGCGGGGATTTCATTATTTCTTTTGACCGTCACTATCTGTCAAATAATTTAGGTTTCCAAGTTTCTTAGGGCTGCCACTGTACATGACACATGAGGGAAAATTATGGAACATTTTTCGAGCGAGATACGTTGATCATATGAAATGTATTTTAATATATTTCTTTTTTTTTTCAATTATTAGAAAGAAAAATCCAATAAACGAGATTGAGATATACATAAAAATAAAAATTTTCTTAACGATCTTAACAATTTTTTATTAAATTAGATATTAAAGAAACATTCATATTTCGTGTGAAATGTTTTGATTTTTTTTTTATTTAAGATTTTGTACAATACGTATCAATTTATCTGATTAAATTTATAATCCGGTTATATATAGCAGGTCTATAATACACATGTAACTATAGTTCGTAGTAACTGTTGTTCGAATTAATTAAAAAAAAAATATATAACAGAAATTGAAGAAATAGAAATTGTATAAAATTTTATATATTATTTCAAGAATTTTTTTTTTTTCAAATATGTGTCATCACAGCGTTTTTTATAATTGAATATAACTCTTATTGAATTAAAGTTTGTGTTCTAAAATGTGAAAAGGAACGCTACGAAGTTCGATGTTCTTTTCATTCGTCAATTTATATATCCTTACACACACACACATACATACATATCTATATGCATACATCGCATGAAAATGATCGAGCATGTTTCATGGAAGCATCGCTTATAAGCTAACTGTGTAGCCAAATGAAGAATTGAATGTAAAAAAAAAAAAAAAAAGAATCTCGAGCAAAACGAATTCTATTCTCGCTCCTTTTGTCTTCTTTCGATTCCGGTTTTATTGTTGAAAAATTTATCGCGAAATCACGCGCGTTTTCTTTCCGTGTTCCTTTCGTGCTCGTAAAACCTTCTGTGAAATACATAACAAATCACATCCCAAATCTAATCGGTCCAAAATTCATACGTACAGTTAAAAAAAGGGACCAAGATTTTAAAAACCTAATAATTATTAAAAAGAGGAAAAACTGTTTTATCGACAGTCGTATGTAAAGTTGATTTTTCATCATTAACGAACATTCGATGCGAATGAATTTCTTTTAATATTGAATGTAAACAGAGAATGATTTCAGAGATTTCTAATAAAATTATTAATATTAACAGAGATTGTAGAATAAAGTAAAAACCATTGATAAGGCTATGCACAAAATGAAATATTTCATGCTAATTTTAACGTTAGAATAATAAACAGATGTGAATTGATTATTAGAATAGATGAGAATAATGTTTTCCATACGATATTAAATCAATGAAAACTTTTTCACTTTACGAGTATACGATGATCTCTTGTTAATATGAATTAATATCAATAATAATTACGACAATCTTGAATTTGTTTACATTCAATGGCGTTGCGAAGAAATTCATTTACGATATCGAATATTGGTTGAATGATAAAAATAAATTTTATGTTGAAAAAATTAGTTACAGATTTGTATGTTGATAGAATATTTTTTACTCTTTTTAATTGAAGATTGGAACCTTTTTTCTTAACATCCTGTATAATAATGTTACTCTCGCTTCCGTTTATCAAGATTATTATAAAGATAGAGGAATCATAATTAGGTCGCTCTCACGAAATGTTTTAACTCTATGCATCTGATAAAAGCAACGTTGATAGCTTGATAGAAAAATATCCATTTCGTTTACTCGACTTTTACACGAATCCAGAAAAATGAATTTCTATTTTTAATAGAAATTTTATCAGTACAATTATTCTGTAATTAATAATTCTATTGTTTTTTATAAAAATTTTATTGATAAATTTGTTTATATATAAACTTTTCAGTTTTGACAATATCGTCTTAGTCTTGTTGTAAAAATATTATTTCATTGTTGGAACAAGATTTCAATCTTGAAAAAAAATATCATATTTTTATTAATTTTTATTAATTTTTATTAATTTTTGAAATAAAGAGAAATTGAATCTTAAGAAAAATTTAATGTAATTTGAATATTGATCTGCGCTTATAACAAATTTGTAAAATAAATAATATTTGAACAATCATTAATATTGCAAATATTCAAATTTTTAATCTAATTCAACAATATTTGCAATCAATTAAAACATTTTGCCATTCTTATCGTTTTTGATCTTTAGACTTAACAAATATATTACAATTTATTATAATTTTTATCAGTTACTGTCCTTTAACATAATTTTCTTAAAATAAACATTTTTTCGTATATATCATTTTTATAATTCAATATTTTTATTGATAGAAAATAAAAAAAAACTCAAATAATAATAATAAGAAAAGTTTATGGACCAGTTACTGTGCTGTTACTTAATATATTGTGACTTAAAAATAAAAAGAGATATATAATAAAATCAATTATAGAATTAAATAATAATAATAATAATAATAATAATAATAATAATAATAATAATAATAAACAAAATAAATAAAATAAAAATAAACAAAATTTAGTATAGAAAAATATTAAAATTGAAATTTATTTATTAGAAGATAGATGAAACGAGCGAAAACAGAGCGAAACAATGATGTGATGGAGATAGATCTCGCTTTATCTAATACAAACATTATTGTAAATGGCTTACTAAATAAGTTTCAATAACATTTATATATATCAACTTTTATGTTTCTTTTGATATTTAGAGTCGATCTTTCAAAATTGTTTTATATTAACACTTTATACATATCGTATATATAATAGATACTTTATATATTATATTTATCATAAAGTAAGGTTTCGCCATTTTTTATAAGAGATTAATGAAAAAAACTTAACTTAAATATTTATTATGCAGCACAATAATAGAAATAAACATAAAATTTATTTTCGTTGTACAATTGTTTAAAAGTACCATATTATAAAAAATATAATTACCAAAAATAATAATATAATATTTTTTAAACTTTCTCGAATGAAATCTTGTTTCATATAATAAAATAAATTTTAAAGAAAAAACTATAATGATATTGTCAAATTATTAAAAAAAAACCTTTTTTCCTTATCTCTTCCGCCATTTGTGAATGAATTAAACGTCGAGATAAAACGATCTCCATGACAAAACCATAAGGATAACGAAACGTGGTTCCCTATTCGGTTTCCAGCCATTTTGCAAGAATAAAAGATTACCATTTATTACGAGAAAAATGTAACCTTTTGACCGTTCAAATGCATTTTGAAAATATACCGGATTGTAATTATGAAATGCTCGTTGAATTTTAATCTTCTTCACCATTATAAAATATGGAGTTAAATATTCATGGCGTAATTATCGATCGGGTTTTCGAA